TAACAACCACATTGTGTTTTTGCTTTATATATTCCAATAGGATAGAACTGCATTCTATCAGTCCAGCAAGGCATTTCATCATGATCGCAAAGGTAATTCCAGCCAATTATTAGAATCTTTTCAGTCCTAGTGTCAAAAAGCTTTACAATAATTGAGTCCCATAGTTCAGTATAGGAACCATCTTTTCAACTTAATGAAACTAGAATCTTTTATATCTAGTGAGGGAGAAAAGGAGAAGATTTCCATAATGGAACAAGCAGAAGAAGCCTAAAGGATCCATTGTACAATTCCATCAAGAATAGATTAAATCAGAATGCATAGAAGTTAATTAACTGAAACAAAAAGAATCTCAGTTAAGAGACAAACCTTCAATACCATCTGGACTACCAACCCCGGATCCTTGTGAAGAAACTTGTGTGCAAACCCAATAAAATGCATAACAAGGGAACTGTAATATAGGTAATTGGACAACACATAGCCTTGCCAAAATGATGAATACCCACAACCTGGAGACTGTGATTCCAACCTCACACTTTTATCAAACCCTTCCGTAATCAAGCCAAGCTCAGAAAAATCATCCAAACTGATATTCCAGGGCTCCATATAACTAACCCAAACAGAAAACACCTGAGATGCATTCTTGATTGAGGTCTCCACCGGAGAAAACAAGAAAGTTCGCAGTATAAACCTATACAATGGCCTTTGGATCCATGAGTTCCAAGAAATGAAAGAGCGAATACATGGTGACACTGGAACAACATCCCTGGACTTTCCACCATCAAAAGATGTTGAAACCCTCCACCTTGGACTCCCACAGTACTCACCACTCTCATACCCATCTGTTACTGCAACTGAGCTCAAATTTAAGTACTTCACAAACAACTTCAGCAGCTCTCCCAAAGCACTAGTTGGTTGAGACTCACACAAAACTGACCGGCACCGAAATGACCCACCAAGCGACTTAAATACATTGACAGGCAACGGTGAAAAGTCATTATCAACCAACCAATAATGCACAAATAAATCAACCATAAACTCAGCCCTCAATATGACAGAACTATCACAGGTCAAGGAGTGATTCAAAATGGAGCTACGATATGGTTGGTGCATATTCAGGTCAAATATAGGGACGAAAGCATGAAGATAAGCAAAAAAAAGCCGCATATAGAGCTTACCCTCAGCCTTTTGCACTAATTCACGCTTACTTGAACCTGAAAATCCCTTAATAGAATATGCCCAATTCTCCAACGTAGATTTCTTGCTTCTTTTTATGGAAACTGTGTCCAAACGCTCGCTATTTCCTCTACAAACCGGGTAATAAGCAAACCAAAACATGTAATACTCGAAGACGCTCAATCGAATTTGATATAAAGAACCCTTAATTTTATCCTCTTTCACTTTACCTTTAAACAAAGGGCACAACTCGGATAAAACCCGGCAATCCTTCTCACTTGAGAGCATGAAGCGAGCCCACTCTGGAAGCCGTTCAGAAGGGAACACATATTTAACCAGTGAGTGCCGATCGATGGCTGAAATTGCATTCATTAGTGTTCCATTAGGGGCGAGAAGGGAGAAAACTTTGGAAGCAACCTCAGAGTCGTTGGACAGTGAGGCGGAATCAATCCAGCCGTTGGGTAGAGACTGAGGACTTTGGAGCGACTGCGACGAAGCATCATCGAAGCCAAAGAGCTTACAGATTAAGGTCGGGAAGGCGATGGAGAAGAAATGACGGAACTGATCGGGTGTGTGGGAGTTCAAGAAGGACTCGATGGAGACACAGGTGGAGACGATTTTAGGCGGCGTGGAGGAGGTTAGAACGGCGGAGGCGAGGTCTTGAGCTTGGGACTGTGAATCGACAGCGTACGACGGCGGAATCATGGAAAGATTTCAGAAATCAGAAAGCACAAAAAGGAAAATTTCTGAAAATGGATGAGCTAGGGTTTTGAAAATGAGAAAAACAAAAAGAGAAAGAAGTTTTGCTGAGAGGTTTAAATCGGAGGGGTAGCAAATGTGGCGCCCTTTTAAGTGGAGGAAAGGGGATTACGTGGCGAATGGATAGCGGTCTTGATGAAGATAATTAGTGGGGCCTATTTTAAATGCTCGTGTTAAAAAAATAATTTAAAAATAATTTTTTATATTATATTTTTAAATAATTTTATATATTATTTAAATAATTTAATTTTTTTATTTATTTAAAATTTATAATATTAAATATAACTATTTAATACTTAAGTAATGATTTATTTTTATTAAAAAGTAAAAAATATTAAATTTGAGTCATATAATATATAGATAAAATAAAATAAAAAAT